ATATTGGGTTCCCTGGGGGAAGAGAACTCACTTTGCTCACATTTACAACACTGCAAACACCACCTGTGCGCAGGTGCCTCTCAAAGAAGCTGTTACACCCACTAGAAAAGGTGCCACTTTCAAAGGCTAACTTATAATTTCAACACTCTCTAATGAACCTTTGTATTTATCCCATTTTAGTAGTATGACTTTATAAAAAGCTCATCAGTCAATCACATTTAGCATTAAATGTTCTAATTCACTTGTACGAAGACAATGATTGACTTTACAGACAACCCCACATTCTTTAGTTAAAAAAGGATTTTGGTATGAAGCACATACCAGAGATTACATAATGTAATCGTAACTGTACATTCGACTCTTCCTATATAGAAAAGGAAAGCTATCTTAAAATATACTATGTAAAATGCATTAAACAAAATGAATGCAATTAAAATTTGATATAATTTACTGTATTTACAACACATAAACAGATTCCAATTACAACCATGAAATCAAGCAAGTGATGCTCTTTCTATAGAATGAGATTGGCACTAATTCATACATGCACTACAGTCACAGCACAATAAAATAAGAAAAATGAACACATAGTATTTACAAATAAGTGATGTTTCTCTATTAAATTGCTTCTCTATTAAATTATACCACATCTCCAGTTACAATGTACCCCACCTGCCAGTGTGGAAAATGTTTGTCACACATGATCACTTTTGCAATTTGTTTCAATATAAAACACTAGCACTTTATATTTGAGGTCGGTTATATCAAATGGAAAATTAACTTTTCTGTATTATTCCAGAGAGCAGAGCTACCATAACTCAACTAATCTATCAACAACTGTAATCAAATTTCAAATGTCTCAGCATTCGTAAAACATGACAAATAAACAGTGTCCATCACGGGAGAGGACTATAGGTGCTGAAGAGGTGGTGCTCACTGGAGGTTCCCAAGAAGAGCTGGGGACACCTGCTGGGGACACCCCAGAGGCACCCAAGTCAGTCAACACACAACATGCCTTAATCTTAAAACAGCACACACAGGAAACACAAACTCTACATTGTTACAGTTTTCTTCTTTAAAAGGAAAATCCCAGACTCCCCTGAATATCCACTGCAGCAATGTAGCTGTCAGTTCTTTAAGTATGAGTTTAAACAAACTTGATTTTTAGCTACTGACACATGCATAGTAGCATGTTTAAATACGGGTAATATGCTCACCCTGAGGCCATGAGATGTGACTTTGTAAAGGAAACGGGCTGTTAATGCAGTACCTAACTGCTGGAGTCCTCAGTAATCATCTCAAACGGGTAAAATGGTTTAGGTTTCAAGGAGCGTATAGTGTTCTCATGTTGTTTTACAGACATTGAGGAAAATAAATTTTAATACGTTAACAGCAGTTTAAATACCCCATTTTTATTCCCCAGCGCTCTGCATCGTAACAGCAGATGGATCACTTCAGACTTCCACTGCTCATCCAGCCCTGAACTATGTCTAGGTGAAGTACTCTGGGTCACACCTTCAACTCTATCCCCAACTGACTTGCCATCTAGTGCGGTCACACAGTTCTAAAATGGGACCTCCACAGACCATGGGCCAAACACAGTTCATAATGCAACCGCCAGGTGTGGAAAACTGTGCCATGCAGGACTTCTAGAAGGTGTTATTACTGAGACCCAAGGCCAAA